AAACAAGAAATATTATTTTCATGTAAAGGCACTATAGTTCGTTATTCCTTCCCAGCATTATTTTAAGGTAATTTAGTTTTTAAATATGTTAAGGAAAAATCATGTTATCCAGTGCTGTAGGTGTACAGGGTTGTACAAAGGTTTTCGCAATTTTCTTATCGTGTTAGAGCGAAACAGTGTTATAGGGTGCAGGGCTGTACGAGGGTTCCCGCAATTTATCCTAACGTGTTAGAGGGAAACCGTGTTGTAGGAGGACTACCTATATACTTGGTATTAACTGGGCGATCTTTGTGGGTCAATCTTTGAGACAATTCCTTACGGTAACCTCGAAAAGAACTGGGAAACTCATTTCATCAATGGATTCACACAAAGGAGTCATTTAAACATCCATAAAGCGTTATATCCCTGTCGATTAATTACTTCTTTAATTACCAAATCAATCTTCTCCGTATTTACATGTCAATCTTTCAGACAGTTCCTTACGGTAACCTCGAAAAGAACTGGGAAACTCATTTCATCATTGGATTTACATAAAGGAGTCATTAGATACCCATACATCGTTATATCCATGTCGATTCTTCTTTAATTAACAAATCGAACTTGCCCGTATTTACATGTCAATCTTTGAGACAGTTCCTTACGGTAACCTCGAAAAGGACTGGTAAACTCATTTTATCAATGGATTCACACACAGGAGTCATTTAAACATCCATAAAGCGTTATATCCCTGTAGATTAATTACGTCTTTAATTACCAAATCGATCTTCTCCGTATTTACATGTCAATCGTTCAGACAGTTCCTTACGATAACCTCGAAAAGAACTGGGAAACTCATTTCATCAATGGATTTACACAAAGGAGTCATTTAAACACCCCCTCGAGACCTGTCACGTCTAACGTGTCTACTCTACTATGCGCCTGAGCTATAACACGTTATCAGCCTTACACCTCTATTAGGTAATTATTTCCCGTCTTGAAGCTTTCCCTTCAGCTCAGGTGCTTATCCAGTAGACATTTAAACGACCTCTCACAATACCCTCGAAAACCACTGAGAAACTAGTTCCACGTTCGTACTCACGGGGTAAAAACTCTCTTAAGTACTCCTTTAATCAAACTATCTCCCAAAGAACGGAACAAATCCACATAAAACATAAAAGTTGCACGTTCCACATATCGAGTGCCCTTACGCCAAAAGTTCACACGCTCCCATGCGCATTCCGCGCAGCCAACAATTTCATCTACGGAAGTCTGCGTTAATGCAGTCGGAAGTCCCCGGTAAAGGGGGAAGGAAAACATTAAAAAAGTCCTCGCTCTCCCACGCGAGATCCGAAACGTGTCGTAACCGTGGAAAATCACGACTTCATTGTCCGAGCGAGCGCCGAGCTACCTGCAACTCTCTCCCTTTCGAGGCGCCCTCTGAAGAAAGAGGGAACTATCCCCTCGACCGGCTGCAAGAGAGAGAGGACACCACGGTACCACGTCCCGTTCGAGCGCTGTCGTAACTCATAATTGTTTCCGCCGATAACGAGCCGGAGCATTTTTTTCGCCTCGGGCCGGCTGACTGGGTACGTGTAGGCAGCTCCTAAGTGTCAAATCGACCGACATGACCAGCTGATGACAGTTTAGCGACAGCCCCGAAGACAAACTCCTTGCGTAAGGACCTCGACAGGACAAAGCGGATCTGCCTCGAAGAACCCTCTTCGGATTCCGACTGCTAGGTCTGTGAGCTTTAGATACTACTTTATTCCGTCACGGTCAAACTTTGCAACTGTCTCATGGACATAAGATATATGGATTTCCGATGCTCTTTTTATGTCAAACAATTGTGACAACCTATTTAACGCAGAAGGAGAAAAGAATTCCTCTGTTCTGCTACCTTCGCAATAATACCAATGGAATAGTTAGGTTTGTCGGGTTATGGACATGGAATGACCATGGGCTAACAATGCACAACAATATATGCGTGTCACAAATGTGCAACTATCGGAACACTAGGCCCAATTGACTCCATTTGAAAAACATTATGAAAGCCAAGCACTTTTGGAAATATTCATTTGCCCTTCTTATTATCTCATCTTTTGTCAAAAATCAAGGACAATACTAACTGGATATCCTTTCTGAGACATCCTGTATGTTTCAGAAAATTCAAAGGTGACTTCTTGTCCTGTGATTTTAAGAATTACAGAGTTCTCACTGTATTTGGAAATCACTGTTCAAAAATTAAATACGTGCAAACTTATGAAAGGAGAAGTGCTATATAGCTGACAATTAAGAAATTTGATAGAAACGTGAAACTTAACGACGATCCACGCATATTTCACCTAACTGCTGTACATTCATTTCAGACATTAACCAGAAACGTAAATAAATATTTCATATCATATACCATATATGAATAATTTATATTACATCATATCATATATTCAACGTCAATTCCTTGAGTTCAAATATGCATATGCCATTGTTTTAGACAGTGCTCTGCACAAATTTCTACAAGCAGCAGTAAATTGCAAGTTCAATAAACTCAACAATTTAATTACTTTACTAGCGAATTCTTAAAACAGAAATAAATGTATAAACGATAGAACAATTTCCTTTTTCACCATTCATTACACAACGTGTCATATGTGTATAGAAAATAAAAATAATCCATATATGTATCGCAGGGACATTATATATCCTTCCGTAACAATTTTTATATCAAATACTAGGAATAAATAATATTTTTGTAACAGACTATAATTTAATAGAATTATTCGCGTGTTCAATGTTTTTTCTTAAACCTTTTACAGTTACCGATAAACTCGTTCCTGCACCAACTTCAAACAATATTTATCCGTTCTTAATAATTTTTATAACAATTACTAAGGTGTTTAAGTTCTGTACAACATTCTATAAAAAATGTGATATAATTTTCATTAAACGTTCTTGACACTCGAAACCAATTTAGACCACGAAATTCTTTTAACAAACACATATATGCACTCCTATTAACTTGCCAGCATTTAAGTTGCAACACTGAAGATTCTTACAAAATCAATTTCACCGTAACCAAGAATTCCTTTAGCAAGAAACATTTAGATTGCCGCAAGTAATCAATATAGCCTAGAAAGTCAATATTTCGCTCAAGATGTAGCACAACATCTCCGGCTAACATCCAATTTGGGTGTTACACACGGACACGAAAAGAGGTGCGTATAGCCTTGCACCCCCACCTTTACAAAATTCAAATTTCTATATCTTAACATTTTCTGCTGATTGTGTGCTAATTATGTGCTATATTTGGAAATGTAGTGCTAGCTCGGTTTTTGGAGAGAAAAAAAATGGAATTTTTCTGTGGGGGTGCTAGGCGCTAGGAGCACCCCCACCATAAAAAAAGGTGTTTCATTTTCTAAAGATGGGGGCGCCAGCTGTACGCACCTAACGAAAACGCAAACCGACGGTTGTGATCCTTAACACTAGGTTTACGGGACCCGTCAATTTGACGGAATTCAAACTTCGAAAAGAAATACCGAAAAGACCAAAGCATTAATTTCAACCATTTTTGTATCGTAAATTAATCATTTCATCCAAAGAATTTGTACACGCAATTATTTTTTCCTAAGCCTTCTAATTATTAAAATCTGTATGTAGTATACCTATCTCTACGAAACCCGTCAAATTGACGGACTAGCTAATTTCATAAACAATCCATATATATTTGCTTCGTTGCAGTGAGTGTAAGGCGAAGATGAGAGTGAAAGTGTGCATTGAAAGTGGAGAGATAGAAGGATTTTCGAATAGTGAAGAGGAAAGCTTCTTTAAAGTGTGTCGTAGCAAGAAAAGGATGCGCATTCTTTCTAGTTCTGACTCCGAGGATGAGAGGACGAGCATTCCAATAATTTCCGGGATAATTTTTAAAAAAGGACTTCTTATTAATCATTTATTTAAGCGTAAAGCCTAGTGTTGTTTAATTCAAACTTAATTTGAATAAGTCGACTTTTTAAAGAAAATCCGTGTTTTCGTTTACCCGTCAATTTGACGGGTGCTCGTAGAAACAGGTATATAAAAAACCCCCGTAAACCTAGGGTTAATAAACCGGCACCTTTTTCCAAACGGCACTCGCCATATTCGATCTATCCACCGCGCAAATCACTTCACCGTCCGTGCTGGGGTAACATTGTAGGTTTTCACTGGTGCACGGCGGAGTGCCTACTAAACTACTAAACTGATTAGTCCTAGGCGGGATCGTCGTCGAATGACGTAGGGCGCGATTTCACGCGGCGACGAGTTTCAACGAGACACGCGGAAAGGATCGTTAAAGTTGGCCGGGCGCCCGCGAATCGCGGCCGGGATTTTCTTACGTCGCCGGATAAGCCGGGTGGAAATATCGCTGCGTGGATCTTCGAGCGTTCAATGACATAACAACGCCTCTTTAAGCATCGATCAAGAGCCGTACGCGCGGCACAACATGGCCGACCTACGTCACGACCTGAAAAATTTACGGACGCCAAATTCGCACTTTCCAAGCTACTCGAAGAACCCTCTTCGGATTCCGACTGCTAGGTCTGTGAGCTTTAGATACTACTTTATTCCGTCACAAATGTTGCGGGCACGCACCTTCAGCTCTATGTTCAGCTGCTTTTCCAGGGAGAGGAGGCGCAGATCCGTGAAGAGGCCTTCCTGGCTCGGCGACGAAGGACCCATCGGTGATAATGGGGTATCTGGAAGAGAATAATAGGTAGCTATTAATCATTCTACTTTGAAAGTCGGTTTTTTCTATGTATACAGGTAACCCTCCTATAACACGGTAGATAGGCTCCTANCACCCCTCACAGGCCTTACTTTGGATGGTGGTTTCACCCCCTTAAAATGTTTAATGGCACATAAAAAAAAATACGTGTCGCTTAGTTTTTAGTCTACTATAACATATTATAAAAGAAATGAAATCGGAGAGATCGACCTGGGATACCTTCCTTGTAAGAGCGCCTAAAGGCGGCCGACGTTTGGTCCAATATTACCTGCACGGTCAGACGAATTTCGCCCATATGTCGATATGGCTCCGTATTCAAAGGGTTAATAATCCGAATCTCCTTCTATTCTGGCACAATCTGAATCGCGCCCCGCAACGTTCCATTAAAATCCGCATCCCATTAAAATTCTAAACCGAGACGTATTCAAAAAGAAAGCATAACACAATAAATAAGGAGTCAAATGAAACATGGATGTTTGATGAAGATTAATTTTATTAAAGGAGCAAAACCCACCTCGGTTAAGGCCTTCTTATCGGCAACTTTGGCACTTTGGAGAAGACGAATCACATTCTTGGCTCCCTCCACGACCGCTGCTTCGATTCGCAGCCGATGTCGCAGTTCCTCCACTCTTTCCTCCAGAGCGAGCTCCAGATTAGGCTCGTACTTATCCCCTGAAACAAGGACGGTTTAAGCGAGAGTTATCGCAAACCGAATCGCTCGATGCTTCGTACCTTTGGCGCAAAACAGGAGCCGCGAAAAAAGGCCGCAAATGGACCGTCTTGGCCGAGCCATTTTCGGCGCCATTATTTCCGAGCCGGTATTATTTAGTACCGAGGCCAGTCTCCGATTAAAGAAAGGCAGAAACCGTTTCCGTAATAACACGTTGCGGCCTCCGACTGCGCAACCACTTGCGAACAAAGTTACGACAGTGTTTACCTATACCTATGTATCTGCGAGACAAGGTCAACGGAGCGCGGTATTTTTACATTAAGCATTAGATGTATCGCCCGAATAATACGATTAGAAAGCACGCTTTGTCACGCGACGTCTCTCAATTTCACAAATTATACAACTTTTTCACCCATAAATATCCGATCGAAACGAGCGCCGCGTCTACTTCAACTATTTTGAATCTACCTCGAAAAATAAAGCTTTAAAACCATTCTTCGTTCATCGTTCACAGTGAACTCCAACTATTTTCAATGCACATTGAAAAATGAGGGTTTAAAACCATTCTTCGTTCATCGTTCGCGGTGAATTTCAACTATTTTAAATATACCTCGAAAAACAAGACTTTAAAACCATTCTTCGTTCATCGTTCACCGTGAACTCCAACTATTTTAAATGTACCTTAAAAAAATAAGGCTTTATAACCGTTCATCGTGAATCGTGAACCTCAACTATTTTCAATGTACATTGAAAAATGAGGCTTTAAAACCATTCTTCGTTCATCGTTCACCGTGAACTCCAACTATTTTAAATGTACCTTGATAAAATAAGGCTTTAAAACCGTTCTTCGTTAATCGTTCATCATGAACTTCGACTATTTTAGATGTGCCTCGAAAAATAAGGCTTTAAAACTATTCATCGTTCATCGTGAACTTCAACTATTTTAGAAGTCCCTCGAAAAATAAGGCTTTAAAACCATTCTTTGTTAATCGTTCGCGGTGAACCAACTATTTTAAATATACCTCGAAAAATAAGGCTTTAACACCATTCTTCGTTAATTGTTCGCGGTGAACTTCAACTATTTAAATATACCTCTACAAATAAAGCCTTTAAATCATTATGTTCATCGTGAACTTCAACTATTTTAAATGTACCTTTAAAAATAAGGCTTTAAAACCATTCTTCGTTCATCGTTTATAGTGAACATTAACTATTTTAAATGTACCTCGGAAAATAAAGGTTTTAAAACCATTCTTCGTGCATTGTTCGTCATAAGTACTCAAGGAAAATGCTTGAGCTGCTACTGGCAGAAATTAAAATGCCTTCTTTTCAGTAAATTGTAAAATTTATTTATGGAGGTTTGAAAGTAACTTTTAATCGGGTATGCTTACCAATATCGGAATTTCTCCCGTTTTGTTGAAATGGGTACAAGGAACTGCCTGAGATATTGGCACGTGGTTGTTTACCTTAGAATTATGTCAAATAATATTTGCTTGCCCAACTAATGCCACCTCTTGGTCTGCATTTGCTTATATCAATGTTTGAGAACATTTTGCACAATAATTTTGAAAAACAGTGAAAAACCAATTCCGTCGATAAACTCAAATGAAAAATAAATGTTTTTCCCCATGCGAGTTTATCAACAAAAATAATCACTTTTAGCTCCTCTCGTGATGGTTCGTTACTTCATAACGCGGGTTTTTACCAACATTTTAG